ATTATCACCACCATCATCATTATCACCATCACCACCACCACTGTTCACCACCCCATTATTATAATCACCACGTCACCACCACCATCCCCACTGTTATCATCATCATCACCACCATCTCCACCACCCATTATTATAATCACCACCATCATCGTTAAAATCACCATCATCATTATCAGTATCACCACCACCACTGTTACCATCACCACCACTATTATAATCATCATCCCAACTACCATCACCGTCATTTTCATCGGCACTGCCATTATCATCATCAACACCAACACCACCACAATTACCACTGTCATTATCATCACCACCATTGTCATTGCCACCACCACCACCACCACCATCACCGCTGTTATCATCATCATCACCACCATCATCATCATAATCCTCACCATCACTACCACCCCATTATTGTAATCACCACCATAATTAACATCACCATCATCATTATCACTATCACCACCCCCACTACCATCACCATCACCACTGTTATCATCATCACCACCACCACTACCACCCCATTATTGTAATCACCATCATAATTATCATCCCCATCATCACGATTAGTATCACCACCCCCACTACCATCACCATCACCACCATCACCACTACCATCACCATCATCAGCATCACCACTACCATCACCATCACCACCATCACCACTACCATCACCATCATCACCAACATCATGATAAACATTCCTACTACTATTCCCATTATCCATTTCAGCTGAGTAAATTGAGATGAAGAGAGATTAGATAACTTCCCTAAGTTTCCACAAATATCAAGTAGAACTGAGATTCAAACCCAGGTCATTTGACTCCATAGCTCCATGTCTGGGATAGATCAACACACTGAGAGAAAAAAAGGGAGGCAATGGCTTTTAAAATGGATGTTAACATTCCAACCAGCTTCTGAGGTGATCAAGGACCATAGATCTAGTTCCCAAGGACTAAGGGCTGTGTAACCATTAGTGTGCAGCTAATACTGGTGGAGAATTGATGTTCAGGTTATAATAGGTGCCGCCTATTAAACACTGTCTGTGTACCAGGGCCTTTGCTTGTATTAATGTAGTTCTCCCAACAAATCCAGAAGACTTTTCTTACCAGGTGGGGCTGGGCCTGGCTGGAGGTGATAAGCAGCTGGCTCCCCAGCCTGCTTTGCAGAATAGTACCGTTAACAAGGTCACTGTAGTAGATGAGGTTGACACTGGACAGGTGGTGCTCAATGTCACGCCCAGACAGGGTCTGATAGGAAAGAAGAAACACAAGAACAGTCTGTGAAGGCCAAACTGTGTATCTACACTTACTTCTATATATTGTTTTAAAAGCACACATACACACACAATAAATTTAATAACATATAAACTAAAAAACCCAACACCCTCCCATTAACTCGTTGCCACTGAGTCAGAACTGATTCATAGCTGACTCTGCAGAGACCTTTCCAAGACTCTAAGTCCTCTAGGAGGAGACTGCCCGCCTTTCTTCCATAGCATGGCTGGTGGATTTGAACTGCCGGAGAGCTGTCACTTTAGGATTAACAGCGCAAGTCCCTATGGACTATGCCACCAGAGCTCCCTAAAACTGTTTAACCACTATAGATTTTCTGCATGTATTTGGGGGAGACACAGTTTAATCCATATCATGCCATGGCCCCCTTTCCAGCACGGCACTGGGAAGCTCTGCTTCAGACAGCAGACATGCCTTCCCTTCACTGCCGGGCCAGCTATCGATGGGCCTTGGGCAGAACTAGAAACTAAATGTCTGGGCAAAGCCTGATCATTCTAAATTGTTACATAAAGGCAGAGAAGCAAAGTCTTTGAAAAGTAATAGTTTCTGTATTTTCCAAATAATGGCTTTATAGCATATCTAAAAATGTTTTAAATAATATATTAAACTCAATTCTTCAGAAACCTCATTTGATTCCAGCTGACTGCCGAGCCGTCACAGGTTTGCTGTAAATTGCCTACGAGGAGATTGCCCTTCGTTCTTTCATAGAGCTGCTGGTGGATTCGAACCACCAGATAAGGGGGTCAAAGTGTTTCTCCTCCTAACCCTCTAGTGCCTAGGCAGGGCCTGGGTCTGTCAGAGCCTACACCTGTGGCTGCATCTCATAAGTATTCCCATCCCTGTGTGTGGCTCTACTGTGGCCCTGATGGTGTCAATGGCTCGGTTCTGCCCTCTCCCTGTATAACTTGGTGAGCTCTAGAGAGCACTATGCTGAATGAAATTACTCAGTCTCATAAGGACAAATACTACATAAGACCATTATTATAAAAATAGAAAGATAACTAGTAAGATGTGTATAAATGTCCAAAGTGGGAAGAGGAAAGGGAGAAGAGGGCACAAGATGGGAAAAGAGGGAAAGCACTTGGATAGCAGAGTTTAATGGGTGGCTGGGTGGAAGTGAAGGAATAGGAAAGATTCAATGAGGACTTGAAAAGATGGATAATAACAGGTATAGATCAATAGAAATGAATTTTATAAACACAGTGTATATTAATGATTGCATGAAACACAATGTAAATATGTTGTTGTTGTTATGTGCCGTCAAGTCGCTTGCGACTCATAGTGACCCTATGTACAACAGCCCTAGACCATGCTCTATCCTGTGCCAATCACACTGTCTCTGACACACCCATCCCGATTTCCCCAGTCACTGAATCAATCCACCTCATAGAGGGTCTTCCCATCCTGTGTCGTCCCTCCACCCTTCCAAGCATAGTTCAAGGGTAACGTGTGGCACGGCCCTCTTGTGGGAGTGGATGACTAGGACCACCGAGAAGCATGAGTCTAAAGCAGAACCCAGACCAGGACTGAAAACCACTCACCTCATTTCCCCCCAGGCCGCTGTTCTGTGGCACGAAGAAGGTGCCCCTGGTTGACAGGTCAGTCAGGTGTTTCAGGAAAGCCTGGCCCTGGGCGGAGCTGTTGGAATAGGCCAGCACTTCCTGGGAAGAGGAAGGACATCATTGGCTGCTGGGTGCAGAGCCTGGGGGACAAGGGCTGGGGTGTCTGAGGGGGATGCAGACTGTCACTCGTCTGGGCATGTTCCTGGTGGCAGTTTATTCCGAGTGTCCTTTAGGTAAGTTGCAGGAAGTCTTTTCCTTTTTTCAACCAATCCTGTGTCCCAAGTCACAGCCCCATCACAGACCATTCTCAACATGGCAGCAGGAGCTGCCCTTTGAAAAGACCCTAGATGAGATGGATTGATTCAGTGACTGGGGTAATGGGGTTAGGTGTGTCAGAGACAATAAGGTTGGCACAGAATAGAGCAGGGTTTAGGGCTCTTGTACATAGGGTCGCTATGAGTCACAGGTGACTTGATGGCACATAACAACAACAACAAATTATAATTTTAAGCAGCGTTTACAGAAAAGTTGGATTGTCATTCATTCATTCATTGTTGCACATTTCCCCCTGCTTCTTTCCCCTTCTTCCTGCTCACTTTCTTTTGTTTTTTCTAATATTCATTCATTATTGAACAGTTTTCTCCTTTTGCTCTCTCCTAGTCCTCTTTGCAGTGTACCTCTTATTCTGGACTGCTGTCATGCATATAATCCCTAATCATGTACTCTTTTTAAACAGTTCTTTCCTTCATCTGTGCCAATGCCGTGCTCATTATCAACTCTTGTCCTATTCTCTTCACAATGCCCATGTCAGACCTGTTTTATAACAGTGATGCTATGCTGTATTTGTCCTTTTGTCACTGAGATATTTAACTCAGCATAATGTCCTCCAGGGTTACCTAGGTTGTGGAATGTTTTACAAGTTCCTTATTTTTGAGTGCTATGTAGTATTCCATTGTGTGAATATACCATAGTTTTATATGGTAAGGGCACTTGGATTACTTCCATCTCTTTGCTCTTGTGAATAACACAGCAATACAAATGGTAAAAAAGGGAAACCACAGACTGGGAAACAATATTTGGTAATGACATATCTGATGAGGGACTCATATCTAAAATTCATAGAATGTTCCAGTACCTCAACGAGAAAAAGGTAAACAACCCAATAGCAAAATGGATTTGAATAGATACTTCACCAAAGAAGACATTCAGAAGACAAACAAACACATGAAGAAATGTCCAAAATCCCTCACTCTCAGAGAGAAGCAAATCAAAACAACTATGAGATATCATCTCACCCCAGCAATAATAGCAAAGTTCAACAAATGCTGGCAAGGTTGTGGAGAGCTTGGAACCCTTATTCAAAGCTGGTGGGGGTGGAAAATGGTGCAACCATTATGGAAGGAAGGCAGTTTGGCACTTTTTCAAAAGGTTGGAAATAGAGGTATCATTTGACCCAGCAATTCCATTACTGGGAATTTACCCTAAAGAAACCAGAACTGCCACCCAAACAGATTTATACACACTCATGTTTATGAATGTGTTATTTACAATAGCAAAGAGAGAAATATCCGTCAATCCTGAGCCTCCTTTTCTCAAAACTATGCAACAGCCCATTTCATTCAGAGGGAAAGTGAATCTATATGATGGTCCATGAGGCCTTTGCCTCTGTTGTTCTCTGACCCCATCCCCACCTGTCCTCTCTCGCTCTGCTCCATGCACCCCGGCTTCCTTGCTGTTCCTCAGACTTGCCCTGGGTGTTCTTTCCTCAAATCCTTTGCCTGGCTGTTCCTTCCACCTAGAATGTTCTTCCAAATCTACATTGCTAACTTCCTGTTCGCGATTTGCTCTGATGTCATCTTTTCACTATGGATTTCCCTCCTCATTCTGTGCAAAAATTGCAGCCCCTTTCCCTCTCTATCTACCCTGCTTGCATTTTACTTTTTCATTTTTCTCATAGAATTCAGTCTGTCTCTGGATGGTGCAAATGGTTAATATCCACAGTTGCTAACCTGTGGCTGGAAGTTCAAGTCCACCCAGAGGTGCTTTGAAAGATACGCCTGGTGACCCGCTGCCAAAATTCAACCACTGAAAGCCTGTGGAGTCATGTTCTCTGCTGACACGCAGGAGGCCACTGTGAATTGGAATCAACTCTGTGACAGTGGCTTGCTGGTGAGCACCCTTCCACTGGCTTGATTTTTTCTGCTTGCTGTTTATTTTGCTGGTCTCTTTTGTTTCCTGAAGCATCTCAGACACAGGGCACGTGCTCAATAAATATTCATTGAACAAACATTAAGACATGGACTAACTTTGCCATTTGGTAACCCGGAGCGCTGAGCCCAGAGAAGTGAAGTACTTTGTCAAAGGGCACACAGCCACTTTTCCTTCCTCAAATACCATCACAGATGATGCTTCTGTGCATCATAAATGTTGATTTGGGTGTTTATCTTAATCTGTTTATGGTTGGCATGATTTTTAGAGCAGTTAGATGGACACACTGCATTGTGGAAAGAGACATGCCATTTTGGGGTCATTTGAGTCCAACTTCTGCCTTGATCCCATGACCCTTATGTTCATGTCCTGCTCATTCTCTTCCTGGAGTCACTGTAGTCTGGTTCTGGGGGAACACAGGCTCCATCACTGCCTGCCCATTGTTCTCTACAAAAATGGATGAGAAGATAGTGGCCTTAGGAAGCCTGAGAGGAAGCTCAGCTCCAGGCTGTTAGGCTGTGTCTCAGTTTCCTAATCTACAAAATGGGAATAATGACAGAAGTGACCTCGTAAGACTGTGTGAGACTTTATTCCTCCTAACACAAATGGTTGGCCAGCTGCGTTGGCTGGGAAGGATTCTGGGACTTCGTCTGACATACTTTGGACATGTTGTAAGGAGAGACGGGTCCTTGGAGAGGGACATCATGCTTGGGAGGGTAGAGGGACAGTGTAGGAGGGGAAGACCCTCTATGAGGTGGATTGATTCAGTGACTGGGGTAATCGGGATGGGTGTGTCAGAGGCAGTGCGATTGGCACAGGATAGAGCAAGGTTTAGGGCTGTTGTACATAGGGTCACTATGAGTCGCAAATGACTTGACGGCACATAACAACAACAACAACACCACAAATGGAGCTATCACTTTATCAGGCAGAACTCAGAGGATGCAAAGTGACTCAATGCAGTGCAAATGACAAGTCAGCTTCTTGTTAATAATTTGGCCCCAGGGGGAGGCAGACGGCAGGCTTCGTTCTCCATCTTTCCTGGTCATGTACCATGAGGAGCACAGAGCCCCTCATTCCTGCATCCTCGACTCTTAAACTGCTCAAGAGGCAGAGATAAACATTTAGCCAACAGCTACATGGTGTTTTCTGTGTGCTAATCACAGATGTAAATGGCTTATGAATATTAACACATTCAATTATCACAGTGAGCCTGAGAGGTTGGAGTGATTAACATTCTCATTTCACAGATGAGGGAACTAAGGTTGAGAGAGAGAAGGAATTTGGTTGAGATATTGGTCTAAAAGGCTTTACAAATTTTAACTTGTTTTATTCTCCTGACTACTTCATCTGACGTACTTTGAGTATGTTGCAAGCAGGGACTGGTCCTTGGAGAGGGACATGATGTTTGGGAGAGTGGAGAGACAGCACAGGAGAGGAAGACCCTTGATGAGATGGACCAATTCTGTGATTGGGGTGGTGGGAGTGAGTGTGTTGGAGACGGTGAGGTTGGCACAGGATAGAGCAGAGTTTAGGGCTGTTGTACGCAGGGTCACTATGAGTTGCAAGTGACTCAACGGCACATAACAACAACAGCAACCCTAGAAAGCTGATGCTACCATCACTCCCATTTTACAGATGAGGAAACCGAATCCTGGAGAGGCCTTTTAGTCTTTATAAGGTTATACAACAAGTGAGTGACAAGCCTACACTTCAAATGCAGGCAGTGTGTTCCTACACCCATGCTCCTAAGCGCCCCTGTGAGTCTGCGTCCCCTCTGACGTGTCTCTTTAGTTGTTAAGCTGCTGCTGAGTTGTTACCAACATCTGGCAACTCCACTGACAACAGAACGGGCTGCTCTCAAGTCCTGCACTGTGATCAGGCTTGAACTAGACTTTGGAAATCCATAGGGTTTTCACTGACTGCTGTTTGCAAGCAGATTGCCAGGCATTTCTTCCGGGTCTGTCTTAGTCTCGAAGCTCCATTGAAAACTGATCAGTTGCATAGCAACACGTGATGACAGACCCCATCACATTAGGTGCTTTTGTTGTTGTTAGGTTCTGTTGAGTCAATTATGACTCCTAGCAACCCGATGAATAATACACTGGACCCCGGCCTGATCTTGCACTGTCCTCACCATCACTGTCATTAGGGACCCTGGCTGGGAATAGAACCTGGGTCTCCTGCTTGGAAGGCTGGGATTTGACCCCTCAACCACCAGTGCTCCTCTAATATCTGCTGTCTAATATCTGCTTTGACTCAACCTTTGCCCACGAGAAACCAAATGGCCTGGGCACGTACCGTGAGGAAGTTTTTGAGCGAAGGGAAGGACATCAGGACCTGCAGCAGGTTCCCACTGCACAAGAAGCCGTCGCCCACGTAGCCCTGCTTGCAGGTGCAGTTCACATCTGGAGGGTATAGGAGCACAGTGGATGCCATCTCCAGTGAGGGCGGGCCCGGGCTGCCCCGGGCTGCCCCTTGAAGATTACCTTCACCAGCTGCATTCACTCATTTAAGTCAACTGGCCAGGCTAGGGGTGAAGGAGCAGCAGCTGGGCGGCCCCGCCTGAAGGGCAGATGGGTGGTTACCTTTCATCCGGTAGCAGTAAACATCCCACGTCTCACTCTTGTTGACTCTCACACCGTAGTCTACTATCCCGACAACGCCAGAGCCACACTTCTTAGAGGCGTAGGCCGTGGGGTAGGCAACGCGCCCCGTGTCCAGCCAGCCCGCAGAGCAGAGGTGGTATTTGGCCTGCGGAGGAACAGACACAGTCACGGGTCGGCTGCTAGCTTAGAGTTACAGTGGGGTCTTTAGGTCCCTACTCCATTCCCCGGCCACCATAAACTCCTTGGAGACCTGGCCTCATTTCGCTCACCACTGGGGAAGCTGTGTCTAGCACGCACTGTTGCTGTTGTTAGGGGTCTTCGTATTAGTGATGACTCATAGCAGCTCTGTGAACTTGAACTTGAACTCTGTCCAACGCTGTGCCCTCCTCACCAGCTCTGTGTCGGTTCATCTCGTTCAGGGTCATATACTCTTTAACTGACTCTCCACCTTTCCAAACATGATGCCCCTTTCCAAGGAATGGCCTCTTCTCAACATGCCCAAAGGCCACATGCATAGAAATTCATTAAAAGGACTATTGCTTAGATTAGGTGGATCTTAGTTTTTAAGCAGACATTGTTGCCCTTTTAGTCCTCTGGAGAGGCACCCGACAGTAGATTTTCCAAGTTCTTGACTGCTGTTACCAAGGGCGTTGATTGTGGATCTAAGTAAGATAAAATCTTTTTCCCCCAGGATCAGTCTTTTCTCCCTCCATCATGATGTTGCCTAATGGCCTGGTAGTGAGGAGTTGTTTGGGTTTTCTTTGTTTCCATTATCATTAATTGCCAGTTATTAACATTGCATTTTTTTTCTTTTTTAAAGTGGTGAGTTTAGTGAAAGTTTACAAAGAGATTGATTTTCATTCATTCATACTAACATATTATGAATAAATACCTATTATTTATTATGAATTATATATTATGAATATGTTGTTGTTGTTGTTATGTGCCATCGAGTCGTTTCCGACTCACAGCGACACTATGCACAACAGCTCTAAACCCTGCTCTATCCTGCGCCAACCGCACCACCTCTGACACACCCATCCCGATTACCCCAGTCACCGAATCAATCCATCTCATAGAGGGTCT